CACTACCAAGTCTACTCTAAGCCAATCAAGGGTAGACTAGACTAAACCATGTCCCGAAGTGCCACATCTGCCTGTTTTTTGAACACAAAGAAGAGCCAGAATGCCCCCCCCGCCCCCAACTAAGCACCACATTCAAGTTCAGTCAACAGCCCACATCTGTCTTTCTCAAAGAGAAAGAGTATGGGCTCACTGATTATTTTGTGGGACAGCAAGGGTAAAGGTATGGCCTGTTGTTAAAAGCACAATCAGCTCACGGTTTTCTTCAGAACATGAAATGAGAAAACAAAACACTAGTCAGCGATAGCCGACTGTGGGGGTGGAGGGAGGGAAGAGGAAGGAGGCTCAGGTGTGACCCATCAACACAGGTGTATCAGCTAAACACACACGGCAAGTTTCGTGCTATTTTTAAGACCGATTTGCAAATAAAATGCCTATCTATAATCACTGGCAATTGCCAAGATTCTGTTCACCAAGAAAAAAAAGGGCACGTACTTTGATGGGAAGCACTTGCTGGTGCTGCTCAACTCCCTCCTGCCCATTGCTCTTCCACTCTTGTGCCTGTCTTCTCATACAGACCCGGCCTTCCCACAGTACCTGCGATGGCACCTGATCCTCACGCTAGAAAGAGTCCCATGCAGAATGACACCCTTCAGTTCAAGTCTGTCATCCCAAACACAGTTTTCACATGCGAAAAAGGAGGGTGGAGCTAAGTAAGGCTCATTTCTTGGCTGAACTCTGAGGTGACTGAATTACCATGCACTTGAACATGGATGGTGGGGGGAGTCCAGGGGACTACCAGGTGAAAATCTTTGGGAGAAGGCAGAAACTGGAGGAGGTAAGGAAAGGATTTTTTGTTTGCGTGTGTGTGTATCACTGGATGGGAAATAAATAGCATATGGAGGCAAACTGTTTACACAATAACATAGAAATGTATATTACAGAAATGCACACGTACACACACGCAGGTTGCTATCCACACACCTCCAAGCCCCTCTCTTTTGCTGTCTGCAGAAACACCTTGGGTCAAATTATGCCCTCTGCCGACACTAAGAGAGCAGCACAGCACTGATTTTCACTTCAGTGGGACCAGTGATTTCATGATCCAGGGTAAGGACTTGCATCTAGCTTGACTATTCAAGCTACGATTTATCCAGTTGTGTCCACCTGCATCACGCTGGCTCTGGTCTCGAAACAGTTTTATTTCAGGACAATAAATGATTTTGATCTGAAATTAAACCAGAATTAGGTTCCCCTGCTACCAGGAACAGGCAGGTTTCAAGCATAGATGAGGATGCCTTCCAGCAGGTGCATACTCCCGTGCTTAACTCCCTCCTGCCTGTTGCTCTTCCATAATTGTGCCTGTCTTTTCATACGGACCAGGCTTTCCCACAGTACAGCACAGGAGGCTTCAGGGGCCTGTAAGACAGCCCCCTCGCCCTCAGATAACCTGCATACTGTCCAAAGGCCCCAGCGCTGCCCTGTCAGCTACGGACTGCCACGCTGCCATCTCAGCTTCGCTGCGTTTCCTTCCCCGTTTCCCCTGGCAGAGCTCTTCACCCCATCTCTTCCACAGCGTACTCTGGTGCGCTACTTGCCTAACCCTTTTCCTTCCGCGCCCTACATCTTCTTCGCCTTCCCTCCTACATCACCTTTGTTTTCCCGCAATGAAGGTATCTAGCTTCCCCCCTCCTCAACAGCGACGTCAGCCAGGTGCGACCAGGGGTGCGGAAGCAGCAGGCAGCCCTCGCGTATCACAGGTACCGGGTGCGACTACCTGGGGACGGCATGAGGGAGGCAGCCGAAACTGCCAAGTACTGGACTTACACTGCACGCAATACCAGCTAAAACACAGTATCTGGTAGACATTTAACCATGGAATTTGCTGAAAGTTGAGCGGTCCTGAGACAGAACATTATGGGTTGCCTCCAGAAAAAAACACTGCTGAACTTTTTATCATGATCATTGTTGTTAGGATCTGTATGTGTGTGTATGTATATACATATCCACCTACCTATTATGTAAAAAAGGAAAAAATATTGTTGTTTATTACAGTTCATCTCAGTATATCTAGGACTATCCTTTGAGGAACACAGCTATCCATGTCCTTTCCCCCAAAACAAGAAGGACAACTTCCACATGTATATGCAATAAAACTGTATTTTTGTGTGGTTTTGCCTTTTTTTTTTTTAATACAGACATTTGTACACTTTCTTACAAAACTGCAGGTAACTACAACTTTTCTTAAATCATTTTTGGTCGGCAAGTACTGTAAAATCTTTGTGTGCAATTATCATGTATTTACAGGGCCTCATGTTAGTGATTTTCAATGATTATTACAATAATGTCACACACTCTCAACATAAGACATGGCTTAAGATAAATATATTAGTAAATAAATATTCTGAGAACATATTTCCATAAATGAAATGTGCTGCTATACATATACAGAATATATACAAGATGTTTTCTAGCTTTTAAAACATTTTAAAAAATGGTAATGAAGGAGAAAGAGCCCTTTGACCATATTACAAATCTTTACAGCAAATTTTATACAAAACAATTTTAAGTGCTATAACTTTAATTAAAAACATTTTAAATAGTGCCTCATGAGCCAAACACAATGACAACTGTTCATGTAAGTAGTAGAAAGGCATTTTGTTATAAAAACCATCTATCACAGCCAGCTAGCCTGGAAGTCTGTTTGGACATACAGGTAGCAGGGAATTAACTAAATGTTGAATACAAAACCGAACACAGAAACCAAGTGTAGGGTACCTCTGTGGTAAGGCCTGCAAAGACTGTTGTACTGGCAGAGATTTCCACAACATGTGAATGAGACCAGTACATCCAGGAACACCACGAGCCAGAATATTCAAATTTCTTTTTTATAACCACATTTTACCACAACATGCTGTGTAGTTATAGAGTACAATGTGTCTTAGGTGGCTTTAGACAGTGCCTCACGAAACACCAAGCAGAATAACCAGGGTAGTATACCACAGCTTCTACAATGCATTTCTTTTGAGTGGAGGAAGGAGAAAGGTAAGACTTAAAAAAACCAACCAAACAAAAAACCCAAACCTTTAGAGTTTATTCTCCCAACACATACCACTTCAGTCATTCAGAGAATGAGTAAGTTTTCAGTAAGCTTTATACACAGAAAATGTGTTTATTGGAATTTTTCTTTTAATCTTATACCCAGATATTGCCTTGGATTCATTCTCTGAACAGCTGGAACTTGGTGTTTGTTCATTTAAAAAGATTTAATGTGAATTCCTTTAAATAGAATTATTTTTCCTAACTTATTGAGTACAGAAAGTAAAAGTAAACAAATGAATGTATTTGTTGTTTCTTAGATCTTTGCTTCTTTTAAAATATTTCATTTGGGACTATAAAGCAAACAAGTTAATTTTGCTGGTTCTCACAATTAGCCCAGTGCTGTCAAGGACATTACTTTGGCAGAAAATATAACATGAAGCGTACATCTCTTTCACGTCTTTTAAGTATCTCCAAAGCGTACTGAACTTTGGACAAATCTTTTCAGAAGACTGGCACTGTGGGCATTAAATAATTAGTTTCCCTTTAGGAGAATTC